TGACTTCTTGGTGTTGGAAAAATGCTACCACCTATACATGATGACTTCCAACCATCGGTTTTGAAATTTAATCAACTGGTATTGTAGTATAACAGTCAATTAATATTTAATTATTTTCACGATTTAGAACAAAAGTGCCTATTTGCAATGTATATTTAGATCTTATTTTCAATCTATATTTGTATTGTTCTGTATCTCTTCTCTGCTGTCCGTCATATCCGTTCCCAGTCGGTAAGTATGCGAATTGGATCGAACTACGAATATCCGATATCTTTTATAATTATTTGTGCTTTGAGTCCTTTTATTCTCATTCTTCCCCCGATCTTGGCAGTATCAGTTCACCTTTGCACCTTTGATTATATTATGAATATAGCTGATATGTTTCATGAATATTGGGTGTTTTCCGCTTTTTTCCTAATTAATTTAATAATGTGTATTATCGATGGAAAACGTAATTCACTAACGCACACGTTCTTAGTGCTGCCATTGAATATAACAGTAATAGTATATTAGTAAAGTTAGGCCTCTCACATAATATTTCAGAAAGAGGTGACATTTTCTTTTTTTTCTACTCAGCAATATGTAATATATATAGGAATATGTAAGACTTTCTAAAAATGATCAACTTCTTCCCCATGAAGAAAGTGAAAGTAACTTCTTAAAAATTATGTTCATCTTTTTGCATACTTTTTCTTGTGTTCATATTTGTATCATGGTTTATTGAAATGTTAAATCCAGCTTATAAGTCAGAAATAAGTCAGAAATATATTAATTAACAGAAAGGTTGTCAAACTAGGGATTATAGAGTGTGGAAAATCCCATATTTCTTTATTTTGTTCATAATAATTTTTACAAATATTCGTGCACAATGGTAAAGAGATATTTGCTAATCAATTCTTAACATATATGCCAATTCAAAATAATGGCATAAAATGTTTCTCTAATGCTTTCCAAAGATGATCACCTTCTTCCCCTTAAAGAAAGATAAGTGAAAACGATAAGTGTCATTTGTATATAAATGTTAAACATAAATTTATATGTATTTATTTTCCTCTACCCTTGGGCCTTTAACATAGAATGTAAGTATGCACCTTACCTGATTATGACTTCTTTAATACATCCTGGTCATCTTTCTGAATATTTACAGTTGATGTAATCTTATTCACTTTTTATGCTCCATTAAAAGTTTAAATACAGCTGATAATTCTGAATATGTTTTTTGGAACAGAAGAGTTATAATAGCTTGGGAATATAAGATTCACAATACCTAATATTTCTTAATTTATTCATAATAACATGTTAACAGTTAAAATTTACATGTATCTTCCATTGTTTCATACTCATGTATAGTATATATGGACCTGTCGTGTAGTTCATTTATTAAATGGGTAATAAACAGATAATGGCTTAAAACATGTAACTTGTCAATTAATAATGACTTCATTTAAGTGATAAGTACGATAAAAAGAAATTAATTATTTTTACATTATTTAAAATTAAGGTGACTTTTCAGTTCCTTTACCAATGAATCTAATGCATGTAGTGTTGCGTCGTAAAGCGCATCCTAATAAACAAAATCACGTGAAAATCACGTCAATATCAAGGTATCGACTAGAGGAGAGTTACGTTCTTCAAACACCTGACATTTACGTAAATGTGTTAATACGTTTATCGCACTAGGTCACTTAAAACACACGTACACTAAATCACGCAATTGTCACTGCAATATCACCATCATAATAACGTGATTATCCCTACCGGGCGGACCATGGTTTGTAAACATAATACTCCCGTGTTTGTTTAGTTATGAAATTACAACTTCATAAACGAAATTATCGCGTCACAGAAACACGTGAAGCATTAGTGATAGTTTTAGTCAAAAGATCTGCGTGAAATTCACGTGAATATTACGAGGCTGACTTGAGATGAATCATGTTCTTCATTCACGTGAAATTTACGTCGAAGAGGAAATATGTTACTGTACTCTCTTAATTTCTAGGACTTAAATTTTAAATCCATTTTGAGACTTAAAATATTTCAAGTCTTTAAGACTTAATAAATTGGGAATTCGACTAAAAGTTTTATCGAAACCAGCTTCTAGATATAAATCTTGGAAAGACTTAAACTTCTCGCCAATAAGATGTGCATATTTCCAGTTGCACCTGTTGATGACTGACTGTTGGCATATTTCCAGTTGAACCAGCTGACACCAATTAATTTGCATATTGAATATGGGGTGCGTGCAGATCTATGTTTTTTTAACAATTTTTCTGAATTTACAGCATATATCTTAATTACTGATGATTTAGGTATATGCAATTCATTTCGAAAATACTACAAATATAAATTACAAGTTATTAGGACATTTCGCTACTTCGTATGAATTCCATTTAATTAAACATGAATAAGGGAAACATTAACTATGAACTAAAATAATTTCAATAAAATACAAGTATATGAAAAAAAATTCGATTAATTAAATTATGTACTTATTACCGATGCCTTTACATTGATAATACAGACGTACCAGTATTGAAGTGTTGTTGCCGTTCAATTGGTTGGAAGTTTTACCAAATGGTTCTAATGGCTTAGCTAGACCAGTAAATCTAAAAGACTTGAAATATAAATACAATTGACTTAAACTTTAAATCTTTCAGGGACTTAAAATTTTAAGTCTTAGCTTAGATTTATTTTTGAAATGAATCCAAGAAAGGTTTAAAATAAATATTAAAAGACTTGAAATATAAATCCAATTGACTTAAATTTTAAACCTTTTCAGGGACTTAAAATTTCAAGTCTTAGCTTAGACTTATTTTAAATCCCAAAGGGTTCGTCACTAATATTAGTCTCTGTTAGATTTAAAAGTAAGACTTTAAGATTTAAAAATAAGACATTCAAATTTAGAGAGTAACCCGCGTTCAACCCAATAATTACGCAAATGTTACACAATAAATAAACCAAAATAATAACGTTCTCATCCTGTTTCTGAACATCGTGTTTTGGATCTTCCATAATTACGTCCAGGCTCGCCTGAAGCAGTTTGGGATTAAATGGGGGGTGGGGGGGGGGGGTGAAAGACTAGTAAGCTAGTTGCAACTGGTCCAGTCGATGAACCAGTTAATGCCCACTGGTAACCCTGAAAATTGAAATTGGCTAAATGATCCAGTTGATCCAGGCCAGTTAGAATTCAACTGGCCTAGCTGAGCCATTAGAACCATTTGGTAAAACTTCCAGCCAGTTGAACGGCAACAACACTTCAATACTGGTAGGTCTGTATTTCCAATGCAAAGGCATTGGTAATAAGTAGACTTAAATAATTTAATTATTCGAACATTTTTCATATACTTGTATTTTATTGAAAGTATTTTAGTTCATAGTTAATGTTTCCCTAATTCATGTTTAATGAAATGTAATTTATACGAAGTAGCGAAATGTCCTAATAACTGGTAATTCATATTTTGTAGTATTTTCGAAATTAATTGCATATAACTAAATCATCAGTAATTAAGAAATATGCAGTAAATTCAGATAAATTGTTTAAAAAAACAGATCTGCACGCACCCCATATTCAATATGCAAATTAAATGGTGTCAGCTGGTTCAACTGGAACTATGCCAACAGTCACTCATCAACTGGTGCAACTGGAAATATGCACACAGACCAGTTATTAACTGGTGCAATGCAAATATTCCAACAGTCAGTTATCAACTGGTGAAAATAGAAATATGCAACAGTCACGGGATTATCACCACGGAACTTAAATGGTTACTGTGAAACCATCAAAATGCCCAAGAATAACTCATCTTTCACACCTGGAAATCACGGAATGCCCAGCTTATATTAATAATCCGTTTGAGTCACGAGATCATCACCGCGGAACTGCTGGCACCTTTGACTACCATTTAAATAGGTGTTTTAAGACACCTAATAATTACTAATTTTTCACACCTAAATATCACGGATTCACAGCTTAGATTAGTAATCAGCTTGAGCCACGTGATCATAACCAAGAGAGTTATGGTAACTTTGAAACCATTTAAAAAGGTGTTTTAAGACACCTAATAATTACTAATTTTTCACACCTAAAAATCACGGATTCCAAGCTTAGATTAATAATCTGTTTGAGTCACGAGATCATTATTACGGAACTTATGGCAGCCTTGACTACCATTTAAAAAGGTGTTTTAAGACACCTAATAATTACTAATTTTTCACACCTAAATATCACGGATTCACAGTTTAGATTAGTAATCAGTTTTAGCCATGTGATTATCACCAAGAAAGTTATGGTAACTTTGAAACCATTTAAAGAGGTGTGTAAGACACCTCAGAATTACTAATTTAATATAACCAGAGATTCACGGACAGAACAATAAGACGATTAGCCGGTGTAAATAACGTGATTATTACCATCAACCTTGGATAACCTGTGCTTATGGCAGCCTTGACAACCATTTAAAAAGGTGTTTTAAGACACCTAATAATTACTAATTTTTCACACCTAAATATCACGGATTCACAGTTTAGATTAGTAATCAGTTTTAGCCATGTGATTATCACCAAGAAAGTTATGGTAACTTTGAAACCATTTAAAGAGGTGTGTAAGACACCTCAGAATTACTAATTTAATATAACCAGAGATTCACGGACAGAACAATAAGACGATTAGCCGGTGTAAATAACGTGATTATTACCATCAACCTTGGATAACCTGTGAAACCAATATATAAAGGTGCTTAAAAGACCAAATAATTACCTATTTATCACCACCATCGGTTAACGGAAAAAAACTCGTTGCTTGGTCAAGTGGTTATTTGGTCATAAACACTTGATTTACAGAGGTAAGTGGAATCACGTTACTCCAGTCGCGTGATAAATTGGTGGTTTTTAGGTTAGATGAAAACGTGAACAGGAGTACCTTTTTTTTTGTTTAAATGAAGGCACGTGTCGTTAACGTTTAAATCTAGTTCAAAAGGCACCATACTTTAAAATCACTTAAAATACACTCCCAAAAGAGGTTACTTTTAGTGTTCGCTTTATCGGGATTAGGAACAAAACTTGTAAAATCGCTTTATAAATAGGCGTTATCATTATTCAGGATTTTTTTAACAAAAGTGCCTTTTTGCACTGTATATTTGCATTTTTCTTTATCTCTGATCTACTTTCCCCGGTCTTCGCTCTCAGTCCGTAAATATGCGAATTCAATCAAATTATGAATATCCGATATTTTTCATAAATGTTGGGGATTTGTCTCTTTTTTCCTTTTAATGTCCTTTTGTGTATCATTGAAAATTTGTGACTAGGTAAACGTTCATGACTGTCTTCCAGCTAACCACGATAAAACGGTTGGGTGTTGTAGAAATTCTATAACCTATACTTATATATTTACTCAGAATCTTGAACGAAAGAGCCTATTTGTACTGTATATATTTTTAATTTTCTTTTATGTCTTTTTCTGCTTCCCCCTATTTTTGTTCCTAGACCGTAAGTATACAAAAGGGATCAAATTATGAATATCCGATATCTTTTAAAAAACTTAGGGATTTGATTCCGATTTTTCTTTTTATTTCAACGTTGTGTATTATTAAAAACCGTTGAATAGGTAAACGTTCATAACTGTTTTCCAGCTAACATCGACAGAATGCTTGATTTATGGTACCACCTATCCATGATAACTTCGAAATATAACAATATCGATCTAGATAATAATCTTTAATGATCCACTCCAAATTTTATTAAACTGAAACGGAAATTTACTTTGCCCAATTGATCGTGAGCCCGGTAAGCATGCATACTCGTGCACAATGGGCAATCTATGTTTGCTAATAAAACAAATGTAAACATACATGACAGGTAAACAAAGAAATGGCATGAAAATTGTCTGTAAGGCTTTCTCATGATTATCAACTTCTTCCACATGAAGAAAAATAAGTTAAAAAGATGAGTTTCATTTCTATATAAAAGTGTATTCTTATATTCATATCTTTCTGTTTTCTTCTGCCCGTTTTCTCTGTCTATAGTACATAAGTATGCATTTTATTCCGTCTATACCTTTTTACAAATTATGCTCATCTTTTTGCATACCTTTTTCTTGTGTTCATATCTTTGTCATGGTTCAATGGGAGGTTAATTAAAGGTTATAAGTCATATATAAGTCATAAATATATTTATGAACAGAAAGGTTATGAAACTAGGGAATGTAGAGTTGGGAAAATCCCGTATTTCTATATTTTTTGGTAATCTTAAAGACATTTTTTATCAGTAATGTAAGGCTTTTATCATAATATTTAAAAATGAGGTTTACTTTTCAGTTTGTTTGCTCATGAATATAATACATGTAATGTTTCCTCGTAAAGTGCATTAGGAAAAAAACTTATAAAAGCGCTGTGTAAAAGGGCGTTATCATTATTCATGATTTTGACCCAAAGTGCCTTTTTTATTTATATTTTTCTATTTTATTTTACCCTCGCTCTCTGTCCATAGCAAGTAAGTATGCATGTCAATCCAACTGTATCTTCTTATATATTTGATTTATCTTTCTGCATACATTTTCGTTGCATGCACATTTCCTCCTTCAATTGAAGGTTAGATCAAGGTTATAAGTCATAAATATAATTATGAACATAACGGTTATCATACAAGGGAATGTAGAGTTCATATTTTCTTTCGGATTGGTAATCACGTTTTTACAGTTGGCATTTACATCTATCTTGTAATGGGTGATACTTATGTTTAGGATTTTTAAATTTACCTTTATAGGCCTGTCGTGTAGGACATCTTTTTCATGGGTAATAAATGAATATAGCCTGAAAACATGTAACGTGTCAATTATTAATGAAGTCATTAAAGTAAGAAAAAGTACGATGAAAAGAAATGACCCATTGTTACACAAAATTGAAAAAGAGTAGAGAAACAAATAGCATTAAAAAAATAAAATTAAAAACGTATTTTATCACGCATAAGTTCTTAGTTCTTCCGTTGTATTCCAAAGTAATAGTTCATCAGTAATGTACAGTCTTTCACATGATATTTCAAAATGAGTTCACATTTTAGTTCCCTTTTCTCTTGACACATGTTATAGGTGCCGCCGTAAAGTGCACTTAGAAGGAAACAAATAACTGTGCTGTATTTTTTTTTGCTGTATAATTATTATTTACGATTTTGAACGAAAGAGCCTTTTAGCACTGTAAATGATTAATTTTCTTTATAACTTCTCTGCCTCCCCCAATCTTCGTTCACAAAAGGTAAGTACTATGCACCTTAGATGTTATTATGAATATCTGACATCTTTCATACCTGTTTGGGATTTGTCTACGATTTTTCTTTTTAATTTCATTTGAGTATTATTGACAACTTTTGATTAAGTAAACGTTCATGATCGATTTCCAGCTCACCAAGATACTACGTTTGGGTGTTGTAGAAATGATACCACCTATCATCGATAACTTCCCACTATTCGTTTTGAATTCAACATTAACATCTGTTATTAAGTCAAGGATTTTGGGTTGGCCATATGTATTGATCTTTGTTTGATGAACCGGTTTTGTAGTCCTAAATATTTTTTTACTAACCGATTGTAAACATACATGCCAGGGAAAAATGAAGGCATTTTAATTTTCATTAAGGCTTGCGGCCTATGATGTTCTACTCATCTTTAAAGAAGAAAAAATGAATAAGATGAGCATCATTTATATGTGTATTGTAATAGAATACATATCTGTTTCTATTTTCGTCTGCCGTTCGTCTTCAGTCGTAACGAGTAAGTATAACAATTACATTTTCTTTCTATATTCTGGTCATCAATCTGAATCGTTTTCCTTGTATCCACATTTCATGCTTTAGTGAAAAGCTAGACAGATGTTATAATTCACTATAATTCATATGAACCGAAAGGTTTATCACAACAAGAATTGTAAATCGAAATATTTCTTATACTGCTCATTTGATTGGTAAATTGGTATTTACATCCATCTCCCAATGGATGATATATACAGGTATAGGATTAATTTCATTTACTTGTCGCATGGTTCTTTTATTTGATGACTCTCGGTTGTAAATAATGAATATAGTTTGGAAAAATTATTGCACAAAAACTGAACAGAAAAGAAAAAAAAAATCCTTGAATAAAAATTAACAAATCGAAACGTATTGTCTCACGCATAAGTGTTTTTTCTGCCGTTGCGTTTTATACTAATGGTCTATTGGAAATGCTAGGTAGTTCACATGACGTTAACATTTGTTTATTTTTTCTTTTATTTCAATTTATTGATAGTAATGTAAAGTAATTCAGAGTTTGAAAATAATGTATAAGAATACATTAATGATTTGACAGAAATAAACTGTTTTGTAGTGACTATTTCTAATATTCCTTGTCTCTTGTTTTGCTTTCCCCCGATTGGGGGGGGGGGGGAGGGTTGCTTCACAATACACACATAACAAAGTGAAGGGGGTTTAACCCCCCCCCCCCGTCACCCTCCCTCCTACGCGCCTGATGAGAGTGTACATGAAATTGCAAGTCCTCTTTACAGAAGAACATATTTAAGCTGATATTTTGATTATAATTTACGTACATGAAACTCCCAACAACAGAGCAAAATACTTTTCTGGTGATTTGTACGATTTGAATTTCAATATCCAGGAACAGACATCGCAAGTAAGACGATCCATCCTTCTAGAGGGCGCACTATCCAACTACCGCACCATGGAATCAGCCTGTGCATACCCGCATTGGCGCTGCAAAAGCAGTGTGAGATTTTTCTTAAGGTAATTTGTAAAATTCTTCCCGACACTTCCACCCTCTCTCTCTTTATACCTGCATTAATGCGCGCTCTTATGGCACGAATGAGAGATGGTCCCCCTCTCTCTCTTCATACTTATCAGGGCTCTAAAATATGATTTCATAAATTACCATAAAGGTAAGGCGTATTCAAGATCATGGTATCAGGGTGGAGGTGCTTTTATCACTTGGATCTGGGGAAACAGAAGGAATAAATAGTTTGTGCAGGAAAAGTTCGCGCTAACCCTCGTACTAGCAATAATGAATAGACACCATTGTCATAAAAAGGCTGGCATTAGATTTACCTTGCACCCCCCCCCCCCACACACACTCCGGGAACGGAGGGACCGCATTCCCCGCATTCATGTTCCCCAAATCTCCGACTCGTAACAAATAAAAAGATCTGCTCGTATTGACTTTACACACCGGACGTATTGGGGGAGCTAAAAAGGCTGGTAACACCATGCAAGTCGATACTTACAAGCAGCATCTAACAATAATTATGTTCATTTTTCTGATTTAGTCCGATGAGGGCAAGACGTAAAGCTTTAGTGATGTCTGTGTTCGCTCCTATTTTTCGTTCCTGTAGTACCCATCATTTATTTTTGTTTGATTATGTTTTAATTAATTTAGACACTTCATATTTTGATAACTCTACTAAAAAAAGGTGTAAGATTGAATAGAAATAGTAAGTCCATGCACCTGAATTGTTGCCATTTAACTCAGGTTCTAGCACAGCCGTCAAGTGTCCTTTTCGCAGAGAATGAAGCTCTTGTCTCCCCTGGTGTAGTGTGTGAACCTTCGGGAACCACGTTTGAGAGCCCATTAAAGTTGGTCATCCCTCACTGTGCGGTGTTAACAGACCCCTCCAAGGCCAAAGTCATCCTATACTTCACTCATGGTGATACACAAGGTGAGTGTATCTATAAAGTGTGAAAGCAATAACTCACATTGTGTGGAACCGATGAGAATTAAGTGTGAAGAGGTGTGGAAACTTTGTGAACAAAATATAAACATATGTAGCATAGAGGGAAATTTGGATTACTGTGGATAATAGGGAAGAACAGAGGGGGTTGAACAATGGGAAAAATCCCTGGAGACACAACGTTTGGAAACAGTTGCAAAACACTGTGGAGACACTAAGAAATCATTGGGAAGAGGGTGAAAACAACGTTTGTAAACAATAAGAAAACAATTTAGAGACACTTAAAACGTTTTGCAAACGTAATGGGGATACACTGCAGCATGATCCCTTGTATTATCATTATATATATATTTAATAATAATCTGATAAAGATGAGTGTTTTTATTCCATGTCCCTCTTCTTTAATGCCTCTTTTTCTCCCTCTCTCTTTGTCCGTTTACATCTTCCGCACTTTTGCAGTCACCAAGAAAGAACTGTCATCAACCGGAATACCTAGATGCGTAGTAAGAAAAGATGACCTTGATGTCTACATTGACCATTTCTCAATTTGTGAAATGTTCATGGTCATTTCCGACTACCATATTGGGAAACGTGTCGCTACAACGCCCTACCTTCCAAAATCAATGAGTCGCCACCAACCGCAATACTGCCATCTACGTCTGTACATTGATACTCCTGGTTTTGACGATGTGAGTAATTTGCCAACATTTATGACAATGTGACAAATATGAATTCAGGATAAATCAAAAATATCAAAAGCTGTTCAAAAGAAAATGGGTGAAGTTGTGGAAGGGGCTCCTTTTTCATTCATGTTGTTTTATCGACTTTATGTTGGCTTCTATTCCCTCTCCCTTTCTCGCTCATGATATATCATTGTTATCATCACTATTTAGTAGAAGTAGTAGTAGTATTTATAATTATTATTATTGTGATTATAATCAGTATCATTCTTATTATTATCATCATCAGTATTATTACTATTCGTATTATTAATATTATCAATATCATCATCATCATCATTATGTTCTTATATTTCTGTATAGGTAGGGAAAATGAATAAAACCCCTTGCCCCTGTACGCACTTGTTTTCCAATACCTTTATTACTGCCAAGTATTTATTTGCATATTATATGCATATATATATATATATATATACTACTGTATATGAAAATATTCCGTTACATGGTATTTTGAATTAATTATTTAAGCGTTTCCGTTTCATATTTTCCGATTTATCATTATTAACTTTTAACTTCAAGCAGCTGTGTGGACGAAATATCTTTTTACAGAAGTGTATCAAACGCCTTTTTTGCTATGTCTCTTTCTTTCATTTCTTACACATGTATATCTATATATATATATAAATATATATATATATATATATATATATATATATATATATATAGGGTGGTATTCCGGTAGCGCGTACTAAGTTAACGCGTACTCAGTTAGTCCACACTTTTATGAAGTGCCTGTTGCCAACTCATTTACCCTGTACAGATTGTTTTAATCCTTCAATGAAAAGTTTCAAAAAAAATAATTTTGCAATGAGATGGGAAGAAAAAGATAATATGAGTATGAAATGAATTTCAACGAAGTCTTTGGTAGATTTTCTTTGTCATGAATATTGAAGGAGGAAGATAAAACCTAGCATTCCATAGAAGTGTGAACTAAAATTCTTGTGTGGACTTAGTCCCGACTTAACTTGTGAGAATACCACCCATATAGTTTAAAAGTAAATTATTTATTCCTTAAACAATCTTCTTCTTTTTGGGGTGAAATATGTGAACTATTTATTTGTCCCAATTTTAATCTCTTGAGGCTGTAACATATTGGAGTTTACATATCAACGTATTCAACAAAGGCCCTTATTTAATCAGTCCACCTCTCATTCTTCAATGACATACCTGACAAAAGTATCAAGTTTACTAGATATATGAATAATTTAGATGTATCCTTCTTCAAATAAGAGGGAAACTAATTCAAAAGGAAATGCAATATAACACATTCAACGGGTTTTCTCCCGTCCTTTTTTCAACTTTCTATTCCTTTGCTGTACAAAATTGAAATAATTAGCTGATCGAAAAGGAAGAAAACCAACTCGATTATCGCAAGATGGCTTCGACACAGAAAATGTTCGTGCTCTGGGAGAAAGGCGAACTCAAGATCAGATGCGAGGTCGACAGCGGTCATGTGACCGAGAACGAAAAGGTACATGAACAATGTATACACTGGCGAATTTCAGAACGCATGGTTTAGAATGCGGAGAAATCGCGTTATTCTATCAAGGAGGTTGATTGGGGGTGGGGGGGGGGGGGGGGGTAAGAAGAACGAATAATTGACCAATCATCACTATAAGGTTCGGATTCTTAGTCCTTTCTCCTTGGTATTCTTGTATGTTTGCACTTCATATTATTCACTCATTTCCCCAATATCAATGTCACACCAATGCACTACGCATATTTCATTTCATACCAACAAATCTTTGACTTCATCGTGGCCAAAACGAGACAACTAGGTAATTAACTTACTAATGTAGTTAATTACCCAGTTGCCCGATACTTATTTATTATGTTTTTAGTACATTCCTAAAGGAATAAAGGGAATACATTTACCATAATGTCATCGACTTTGTTTAATTTGGGAAATTAAATTTACAAAAGTAACCCAAGGATGATTTCTACATGCAATTCAAAAGGCTACTTGAATCACTATTTGGTTGATTTCTTTAAAGTTTTTTTTTCTTTTTTTTTCGTATGTGTTCTCATCTCACAAATAAAGACCGTATCGCTAGATGACATCTACAGATTGGATCGAAAGGTTGTCATTTTTGTAGTGAAAGCGACTGGAAATGCCGACGTACATTTCAAGTTCAACTTTCATCCTCATTGTGACGAGGGACATGCCTTCAAAGCAGAATTCTCAGGTTTGTGGCTGGGTCTCGTTGCATAAACATTACCATTGATGGTAATTTCCATGGAAACGTAGATTTGATTAGCTTTTGGGTGATGTTGCCATGGTAGTTTATATTGATGGCAAAGTTACTATCAATGGTAATATTTATGCAGTGGGGCTCTTTTGTGTACCTGCGTTGGTGCTAGCGTATGTGCAGGTGTGTGTATGTGGGTAGGATTTTGTGTTTTCTTTCTTTCTTTTAAATTGTTTTCCTTTTCTTTTGTTATAATCTGAATAGTAATTACTGATGTTGACAATTCTTGAATAAACTGTTATTATCTATAGGCAGATTTTGTTCTCACGGCCCCTCTCCCCGCTTACACATACACACACTCTCTCTCTCCCTCACTCGTTTTCTTTCTCATTTTAGTGAAGTACGCTGTTACAGTAGTGAAATCCCCGTTTATTTGTTGTGTCTTTACTTCATAATTGTCTATTTTGTTTATATCTTGTCGCTCATTTAACCTATTTAATGATAAACGAAGAATGAAGACAATCACTTTTGCTTTTCCAGTATTTGAAAAAGAATTGTATAGCATTGCAAACATTTAAATATCCTAAGTAGCGACCTGAATTGTATATGATTTTTGTGGAAAAGAAAGTAATTGTTCTTAATAAATATGTTTCATTTATAACGTTTAAAGTCATTTCTTTTTTTGTACCGAAGTTTGCGACGATATAAATCTCCAAAGCACATTAAGTCTCTTTAAAAAAAAACCTACTCTATTGTTTTTATCTATTTATTGATTTTTTTTTTTTTTACCTATCTATTCATTTATTTGTCTCGATGCAGATGTTGGTGAAGCTCCTATCTTGTAAGTACTTATCGAGACACTAAAAAATAGCATTTCGTGATAACTTGAAAGTGAACGGAATCACGTTTAATAACAAAAAAAATAACATTTCCCAAATATTGCACATCTGCCCATGAACGTGAACAAATGAATAATGTTGTTGTAGCATGAATTCACTACTTATTCATAAGATAAGCTCTCGTTAAAGGAATCTTTCGGCAGCAGCTTTGGTTGCCGCTTTCCCACCGTGGACAATCAGAGAGAGAGAACTAATACTCCCTACTACAACTTTTGAACCTTTTTCGCTATCAGTGCCATATCTTTCCTTTGTATTTATATACACTGATATATTTACTATTTTATGTGCGGTACCCGAATGCGTAACCCAGATGATAGTGTCAGGAGTGTCACGTATGACAGACATGAGCACTATACAAGAACCCACTATTATCATTAGTATTAAGTTCAAAGAATGAAATTGCCCTTGCCCATTTCCAATTGAATCGGTGATATTTTCACATGCCATGTTGTTATACCATACATATATCCTATACTTTGTGCAATAACGAATGAGTCACCTAGCAATATTGAGCGTTGTTCAGGCGATGCAGAATCATGAGTCACAGTTAAAAATAACCTAGCTTTAGCTCAAGGTAATGTAGTTTTGGTTTTATAAGTAATTTTGGTTTGTTATCGATCCATGGTTGGTTTAGTAAAGTTTCCCGATCAATTAAACACTTGCAATATATAACGGTTTAACTGAGAGAAGAGATAATACTCCACAGAGAGCAACCAACTTAATATATTTCCTTTTTTTCCAGACAAGTGCCTTCCACCACAATTTCAATGGAACCAGAGGGGGCCACATCGTCGTCTACAGAGCCATCGGAGTCTTCGGAGAGGAAAGAAGAGTAAGTCATAATACAAGTTCAAAGATTTGCAAGGTGAAAATCCAAAACTTGTTTAAGGGCAGAATGTTGTGAAAATAAACTTAATTGTTAACATATTCAAAAAGCATTGTGAAAAAAATAGTATTGGTTTTAAAAATACTTTTTTATGGCAACGGCAGTGTTTTGCTCACCCAATTGTGCGTGTACAAAATAAGTGTTTAATTGTGTTCACTCGTATAGAGAATACCACATAGTCTTTTGATCTGAAGCTTTGCACAAACGTTCATATACTCATGTTGCTGCTACATATAATGTATAATAGCAAATCAGTCAGATTAGGCCCTAACAGTATTACCAAATTATATTCAGTGACCCATTTAATGCACGTGGGTCAAGAAAGATAAATGTGCCCTAAACTCCTTGTCCAAAGATATTAAAACGAGGCACCTCTGGGGTGGGAGCGGAGAGCTGGCATCAAGATAACACAGTGCTCCCACTAATAACCCAAGTTTTCTAGCCGACAACAATCAGATGGAGAACTTCATTTTAATTGCATTATGTTCCAGAGTGTGGAACATAACCGAGTTATCAAAAGACCGGCATAAAGACAGGTCTCGAGATATCCCAACTTAATACTTGGACTAATATGACTCTTTAAACAGACATGTCGAAAAAAGTATTACCTCGTATTTAGTATGCAGATGGATATGGTCTCTTTGTTAAAGCTTTGTGTAATTAGACATTTTGATGAACAATCGAAATGATTGGTAAGGGCGATTATAAATAAGAAGTATTGTTTAACTTCAGTTTGCAAAAACAGCTTTAACTGTTTTGGGAATGTTTCTAATATATTACAAATGCAAAATATGGCGATTCCTTTTGGTTTTGCAAAGTAAGGATAGGCTCACCCTTCTGAAAGGATATCTAAATATAGATATTTAGTCATTTGTTTTAATTTTGTTTAGCGAGTAGATGGAATGAGAAGGGAAAGCGACTTGTAATTTGCTTTCACATTGAATCCACCATGATTGCGTAATCTTAAGAGTCACCCCTTATATTCTGTTGTTTCCGCAAGGCTATCAGCTACCCCCGTACGGTTAGACGACATACTTCTCTACGATATCGCCGAAGAAATCGAGACTGATGAACACCTTGAAAGGTTAATGCACACTTTGGAAGTCACACAGGGGTCACAGTCACGGTATCACGAGATCAACAGGTTGGAAGGTCGCCTTACGGCTAAAGGAACCCGTCAGATGCTGATGGATTGGAGGGCCAGGACAGCAGTCGTAGAGCAACGGGACAGGCTGAAGGACGCCCTCACCAGGGCTGGGCTGTTGGACCTGAGGGACAGATTCTTCCCAGGCTAGAAAGAATTAGAAGAAAAGAGCGAAAAAGAAGATTGTGATGGAAAAGAGGTTTTGTTAAATCACATGACTTAAGTTCGTCACACCATCTAAGGAGCACGGTAATTAAATGTTCTGAAATGACTGGTTTTAAGCGTCGTAATGTCAATACTCGAAATTCGAAATCCAGCTATCCTAAAGATAATGTTCACTCTGTCGCCCAATTCTCGATTATGTTTGATTACTTTGTCAAAAGAACCACATTAAATCATTATAAGCTGTGCACAGACATTATACTAGATTATTTTCTTTAAAAGGTGCAAAGTCTCCGTCAAATCATGAGCGACTATTTCTTTTTAATTTGTCTCCTACATAATACATATACAACAGAATGGTTTTATTAGTCCATCTGTTTTTTAGTGAAATAGTAATTACTTACAGCACCTTCCTAAGCTAAATTAACGTGACTGATATTACATGTTTTAGTTTTAATCACGCCTCGTTTTTAAATACAAAATGATAATAAGCTGGTATCAGTAAAAGTATTTGCAATATTTACATTTAGGGCGCATGTATAACCAACATTTTTCGTAAAGTAAAATAAAAATGACTGATTTGTTGTTCAGATAAAATGGGAGATGACGTCGCAGGATACGTCACAGAGCTGGCAATTTGTGTTTGATTATTGGAAACTTCAAAAATGCGTAGCTTTAAAAAAAAAAAATGTCGGATTTTGCTCAAACTTTAAAGGCAGGCTTTACTACTTCAGCTAGAAGGGATTAGACCACACAGCGAGCCAGCGAGGTCACTGTGACAGGTGGCTATCTCATTAACTCAGCTCTCATTTAACATAAGAAAAAGAGGATCATGGGGGACCAACAGGCACCGATTGGGGAAGTTTTCTATATAGAGGGAGCAAGTAGCTACAAGTAGGACAGTGTGCCTTTAAATTGAATATTCTCTCTCATTTGTCCTTCTATACATAATATCAGGGTGTACATTCTCTTTAAACATATTTTTTCACGTTTTGAAAACTTTTCCGTTCATTAGCTGCCTAGTTTTTTCATACTTTTGTCTGATAAGCCATTTGAAAATGTCTTACACTGTCATCTTCCCGATATGCCTACTACAGTACAATAATATTTTTTTTAGCAATCTCATTATTTTGTATTCCTACCACATTCTTTACATTATTCTGGTAAATTTCTGTTTGTAATAACATATAAATATTTTGTATATTTTCGGTGGAGGAAGTAGATTTTGATACTAAAAGCTACCAATGAGGATAGGCCTTAAGAAATTAATATTTCTTTGAGGAAATCAATCCCCATGCATTAGTTGTTTTTTTCGTTTATATTTGTATCGTTATTATAATCATCATTTTTGTATTCTTTCATTGGCTATGTATGTTATTGTTTTGTTGTTGCTTTGTACCTAGAAATTAAATAAATATATAAATGCCATGAATCTGGGGATTATTAGGGTATCAGGACGTCAAAGAAGAAGAAGAAGAAGAAGAAGAGATAAAAGAGTAAGGTTAGTACTTGTATTGATTATACTACATTATAAAATTATCCCGTTTGTTATCATATGTTTATATATTAATGTTACTTATACATTACGACATGAAGCTATGGTTATGTGCTTATTTCTACTATACCTTACGCTTACATAGTATTTTTTATTCATTTATTGTATTTAGAAAATAGAACAAAATAGAAAGAAGAAAACAAATTGGAATTAAATAAGGAATGCCCACAAATCTGTTTAATTCTTATAAATAAAGGATAATGTTATGTAACTTGTATGTGTATGCTAAGCATTTCCTAAATAAAATTGTATATGTGTTTACGTATTGAAACTGTGTTATCTTGTACGTTAGTTTTTCTTTTTCTTTATAAAAAAATGCATGAGTCGAGAATATTTGATTTAATGTAAGGCTAATTGTATGTAGCTGTTAAGCATTTTCTATATTAAATTGTAAATGTTTTTAGGAATTTAACAGTGTTAACTTGTATGTTAGTAACCTTGTATTTCTAAACAGAAACAAGAGTCGAAAACATTGGATTTAATGTAAGGCTAGTTGCATGCAGCTGTTAAGCATTTTCTAAATAAAATTGTAAATGTGTTTTTACGTATTCAAACTGTGTTAACTTGTACTTTATTTAGCTTATAATTTCTTGAAAATGTGCATGAGTTGAGAACATATGATTTAGTGTAATGTAAATTGAATGTGTATGTTAAGCATTTTCTAAATAACATTTTACATTGTTGACGTATTCAAACTGTGTTAACTTGTACATTTAATTTCGGTTTTTTTCTAACGAAATGAAAGAGTCGAGAACCTTTGATTTCAAACTGTTTGTCAACTGACAGAGAACAAATATTTTTTTTTTTAATCGAAAATACGGAAAAGATGAGGCTTACATTCAGCAAATGAAATTTATGTAAGCCATTTTCGAAACCGAATTAAAAGCATACATTTTTGCCTTAATACGAATTATTCCATTCACCTTTTACGAAAAACAGAAACAAATGCAAATTACAAAAATGACATGCTGTGATATTTCAATTATGCGAGAGTGTATATATGTGCGTAGCGCCCTCATCTGCAACACACAAAGGCACAATTCTGATAAAACAAAACACGTAACAAACACATTATTCATTTCTCCAAAACAGCAATGTGTAGCCTGTTATTGCAAGAACGACAAAAAAGAAAATATAAAGAAAGTTCTAATTATATTATTTGTTAATTATAAGCATCTAAATACTTTATTTCATATCATACATTCTAAGCTACTTGTTAAATGAATGACTGTCCAAATATGTGAACAATAACTATGTGGAATTCCAGGATGTGAAAATGATGTTGTTCTTGCTAAAATTTCATTAACATTTTTTCAAACACTCAATCTTCAGAATATAAGGACTGGTATCAGACTAAGCGTTAGGGAAATCGAAAAAGAGACTCCCTGGCATATTTACATTGATATTTTGGTTGGAACTGAAGGCGGATCCCCATCCAGTTATTCAGAGCTATCTATAAGTTTATACAGTGTTTAAGTCTAATTGGATTCAGTAGGACACGACATGTACAGGTGTCGTGGTTTAGTGGATACGTCGTTGGTCTGTGGCTCATATGGTTCGCGGTTCGGGTATTTGCCACTCCCCACCCATGTGATTAATGAGTACCGATTGCATAGATTTCCTGAAATGCTGTGAGCACCAAAAAACGGTAGCATTGCAAAGCCAGGGTAATATTGGGGCACCTTGAGTACCTTGCCTGGTGGATATGTGAGCTATAAAAACCATCCAATATAATTATTACTTTATAATTATTAAATATAATATTTGTTCTTTTCTTGCCCAAAGGAGCACTCGCTATATTGTGCCCAACTTTGCTGAAAACATGATGGCCAAGCTGCTGTTACTACTAAAAAAGGTTATCATTATCAAAGAAAACGACCGCGGTTGTCACTTCACTTAAATTAAATGAGCGAGCCTTAGATACATGATATTATCTTTATTTATATCAGAGGGCGCTCGTCGAAATCAAGATTGAGACACGTCGTTCACTGATCTGGAGAATTATTTACTGTTTGAAACATCAGGAAAGCCGTGAGTGTTAACTTTGAGACACGATATATTTCAACTTAATAGTGAACATTGAAAAGGAATAATTTTGGGTGGCTTTTGACGAACAGACAGAACGAAAAAAAGAGTCAAATTGGTAGCTCGCTTTCGCTTGCTGGACCTAGCGCCACGTATGCAGGGCGACACGGGCATGTATGATAGTGGCGGGATCAAACGCGTTTTTTCTTAAAAACAGGGATGTACCGATGGAGGGAAAACCACTCGTACACGAAGAGTTGTAATCGCGCTATCCAAACAGCTAGGCTCTACACAAAACCTGAAAGGCCTGCAGAGGATAGGAGTCTTTGGAAAACTACATGGGGTATGGACTATGTTGCGTGTTAACTAGTAATCCCACATAATTCCTTTTTTAATTAAACTACTAAAAAGCAGTATCCCTCCAGACAATAAAACACTTAATAAATGATCACATCCAGACAAATTGATTATGGTTAAAAACTGGTTCTATATTCTATAATTTCACATAAGATACAATGATTACAGAATTATCAGAAACCTCTTCTGTCTATCTCAACAGTGACAGACAATTAAACTATCACTAGGCCCTTGGTAGTTACTATTAATAATCAAACATAGATAACTTCCAACAGCACATTAATGTAAAGGAGACTCAACTTAGGCACTATGGTATTAATGATTACCGCTTAATACAAGTCTCGAAATATCAGGAGTCCTGTTCAGTACAACTTAAGACAGTACTAAAACAAGTCAGTTAAATATCATTCACACTACATGAATAATAACAGTCAAGAAAATACTACTCACATCTAAGCTAGACAGCGTTTAGATTTACTTACATAGGCACGAAATATTGTGGTTCAAGAAACCACTAAACAAATCTCTACTTGTGTATGTGTACGGAATGCACAACACGAGAATACAACAATATATCGGTGGATCTAGACTATAGCAGATCTAGATCAGTAGACCAGGTATAGGCCTAGACTAGTGCAATTATAAACATGTAAAATATGTGTTAGTAAGCGTACGCACTCAACAACAGGCACTCAGTCAGTCAAAATAAGGTATCACAATGATAAACAATGCAAAGCATACATCACAATATAATTAACGTTACGTGAGTCATTGGAGTTGAATTCAGAGTAGATCTTCTTCAAGTTCTAGATAGATGTAGAAACTAGCTAGTCGAAAACAGTGGTCGATGAGCTGGTTGTCGATCGCGTAGGATATGCAGACGATGATCGACGCTAGGTGAATACCACGATGAAGACAACGATGATGACAACAACGATGAAGACGACGCTGGTGAAGACAGCGATGATGAAGTCGACGATGATGAAGACAACGGTGATGAAGACGATGATGAATCAGTATAAACAGATGAATACAATGATGATGCAGTCAATGTCAATAGATCAACTTCAGTG